TCAAGCTCTAAAAGAAAAACTCACCAATGCACTCATTCTAGCCCTTCCAATTTTTGCTCAGACCTTTGAGCTAGAATGTGATATAGGTGTTGTGTTACTTCAAGGAGGTCATCCCATTGCCTATTTTAGTGAAAAACTCCATGGGGCCACCTTGAATTATCCCACCTTTGACAAAGAGTTGTATGCCTTTATTAGAGCCCTTCAAGTTTAGGAGCACTACTTGGTAACTAAGGAATTCATTATTTGTACCGATCATGAGTCACTCAAGTACATTAGAGGGCAAGGAAAATTAAATAAAAGGCATGCTAAATGGGTTGAATTTCTTGAACAATTCCCTTGCATTATCAAGTACAAAAAAGGAAAGAATAATGTAGTGATTGATGCTATTTCTAGAAGGCATACATTACTTTTCTCCTTAAGATCTTAAATCCTTGGATTTGATAATCTAAAGGAATTGTATGAACTTGATCAAGATTTCCAATCCATCTTTACTAAATGCTTCCAAAATCCTTTTGATGGATTTTACTTACTTGAGGGGTACCTTTTTAGGATGAGAAAACTTTGCATACCTCAAAGATCCATTAGAAAGCTTTTGGTCAAGGAAAGTCATGAAGGGGGACTCATGGGCCACTTTGGGGTTGATAAAATCCTAAGTCTTTTAAAATCAAAATTTTATTGGCCACACATGAGAATAAACGTCCAAAGGCATTGTTATAAATGCATTACTTGTATCCAAGCCAAATCTAGAGTAATTTCTCATGGAATCTATACACCCCTTCCTATAGCTAGCTCCCCTTAAGTTGACATTAGTATGGATTTTGTGCTTGGTCTCCCAAGAATCCAAAGGAGATTTGACTCTATCTTTTTGGTAGTGGATTGTTTTAGTAAGATGGCTCATTTCATACCATGCCACAACGTAGATGACGTTAGCTATATTGCTAAGTTTTTCTTCAAGGAAGTGGTGCGTTTGCATGATCTACCCAAGATTATTGTGCCTTGGGATGACTGTCTCCCCATATAGAGTTTGCCTACAATAGCGTAGTCCACAAAACTACTAATCTATCCCTTTTTGAGGTTGTATATGGCTTTAACGCTTTCACCTCTCTTGACTTACTACCACTCCCTAATATTACTTCTTTGTTTCACAAAAAAGAAGTATCAAGGGCTAATTTTATAAAGAAATACCATTGAGAAAGTCAATAGTCAAATTGAGAAACAAACCCAAAAATATGTCAAATATAACAACAAAGAGAGGAAAAAGGTGACTTTTGAAGTTGGGGATTAGGTTTGGCTTCATTTGAGAAAGGATACATTCCCTACTCAAAGGATGTCAAAAGTCAACCCTAGGGGAGATGAACCTTTCCAAGTTCTGCAAAAGATTAATCACAATGCATACATTTTAGATCTTCCCTCCGACTATAGAGTTAGTTCCTCATTTAATGTTTGTGATCTTACACCTTTTCTAGGAACTAATGATATGGATGATCTTGAAGATTTGAGGTCAATCCTTCTTAAGAAGGAGGGGATGATGGAAGACCACCCTTGGAGCTTCATGTGGGACCCATTACTAGGTCCATGACTAGGAGAATGGAGGAAGATGAAGGAGACACCATGCCTAGAGCCATACTCATCATGAGTGTGAAGTATTGATCCATCTCCTAGGCCCATTTTGAGTAGTATAGGATTTGATTATTTTATTTCCTTTTTTTACCCTTGTATTTTGGGGTACTTTAGATGATAGGATTTTATTATGTATTTTCATTTAGCCTTTGTGTTGTGGGGCAAATTAGCTTAGGATTTATTTTAGGACTTAAACCTTGACTTGTAAGGTCAAGGGGTATTTTAGTCTTTTAGGAGGAAGGAACCCACACATCATCTAGGGTTCATTTAGGTTGCATTTAGCTTACATTACATGGCCATCCAACCCTAAATGCAATCCTAGATGTCTTTCTACTCCTATATATACCATTAGCCTAACAACTTGTACATACTTTAGAATATATGAATTTGAGTGAGCATCTTTATCTCAAATCCTCTCCTTAGTCACCTAGGTCTACACGACCTAACCCTCCCTTCTCCTCCTTGAGTGAGTTTAGAGTTTATTTGAGTGGCCTTCACCCTTGCCTAGTGAAGTGAGCCAACCTTGAACCTTCCAAAAACCTTCCTCCTTCATTTTTCCCTATTCACACACCTTTCACCCCCCCATACTCTCTTTTGCTCCACCCTTGAAGGAAAGTTCACCCCTTAAGGTCATCATCTTCGACGTGGCAAGGAGTTCCTCCTCACCTTGGAAGTCTTTATTTCTCCTATGGTGGAAGGAGTCCATTAAAGCCACCCATCCAAATGCACTCCTGTGACCTTCAACCTGTCTCCGGTGACATTCCTCGACTGTCGCCCACCACTCGCCAGTCACCTTTTCGGCCGACAACCTGAACTATGATGGTCCAACACCTCAACGAGCAACCAGGACACACGAATAACACTTATGGAACTCAAAATTGCCTTAAACACCTTCGTTCACCATCCCTTGGTCGCCTTTCTAAGTGGCGACCTGAACCATGGTGGCCCAGCACTCCAACGAGCAACTCCGATGTCATAGCCAAACTTCTAACTAAACAGGATTTTTTTTCAGTTTTAATCCTTCTCCTCCTCCTTTTATTTTTTCAGTTTTAATCCTCTTTTTTCAGTTTTAATCTTCTTCCACCTTTTATTTTTTCAATTTTAATCCTTTCTTCTTTTAGTTTTTCCTACACCTTTGAGTTCTTTCTTAATGAATTCATTGTTGCATCTTCAACAACAAACTTTTTAATCCCAATTCTTCTACCAACCGTTTAATTTAAAATTCTTAATGCATAGATCAAATATGCAAATTTTTAGCAAATTTGAAAATTATTTGATATTTCATTTCATTAATTCAAATTAACGGATAATCATAAAATTATTTTATACATTAATTCAAATCAATGAAATGAAGTATCAAATGATTTTCAAATTTTTTAAAAATTTGCAAATTCAATCTATACATTAAGAACTTTAAATTAAACAGTTGAATTGTTAAAATTTAATATAGAACAAGAGTTATTGAACGAAGTAAGTGTAGGTAGACTTACTCCTAGAGTAAAAGGATCCCTCTTATATATATATATATATATATTGTGCGCCATAGGCCACCATTGCATCTGCCATAAAGTTATAAAGGATTTTCGGCCACAAAACCATAAACCATTATCCACTATTGATAACCTTGATGCTAATGTGCTAGTCAAGAAAGTTGTGAATACTAAATTTGGGGCAACTAAAAAATCAATAATGGCAAAAAAGTTATTAAATCATGATTCAATTCGTGAATTGCCAAGCTAATTTTTCAATCATAAATCATAATTTGCATCAAATATAAGATTCAAAGACAATGAGAATTGATGAGTGGGTGAAAAATAAAGTAGTGGAATAATCAAATAGCATAAGTGCTTCTTCAATTCCTTTTCATTTAACAAATTAAGCTCATGCGACTTTTCAATTTTTTTCATGAGAATTGATAAAAAAAAAGTAAACAAATAATTAATGAATCATCTGATTTGTATGTATGATACAAAATTGTAGAGATTCATTTATGTATCATAAGATACAAAACCATTTAGATTCATCATATGATACAAGATAAAAGATAGTTGAATCGTATTGAATCGCAAGATTCTAATAACCATGTACAACACAATACAAACAGTTTATATTGGAGAAATTTATAAAAGAGAATGAAGCACCGACTATAAGTGAATACTGCAGCAGAACCTAAACTTAGAGTATGAGATTGCTAAGATCTTGCTATTGTTATTATTGAACATGATTACATGACAGAAGATTCGCATCCTCCATCTACTAATAGATCAGTCCTATTTATAAGCTTGATTCAGAATGTAGTATTCACTAATATTCATGAATAACTATACCCCAATACATTCAACAAATGATTCACCATTGAACATTCTTATCCCTGCTACGTGAGAATACATATTCAAATAAACTAAAGAGTATATTATTCAATGTTAACCTAACCCAAAGCTCCAAACAAACTAAGTACACCTCACTCAAATTCATTGTTACAAGTATAGAAGCAAAATAGACACTAGAATCTGCCACAAAAATATCCTTGCAAGTAAAAGAACTATCCCCGTTATCCTTGTAGAAAGATAATATTAAGAGTCATTTGGGGTAAACTTCAGAAAACACTTTTAGAAAAAGGAAAAATGAAATAAGTTTTTCATACGTTAAAATTAACTTAAACATTGTTGGAAAGTCTCACATCACTTGTCTTAATTCTCCGTGTGCGGTTTATATATCTTGAGCAGTTTCACTTAATATCAATTTGTTTTAAGCTAAAATCTAATATGAAATCAGAGCCTAAAGTCTATCTTCTTGGTTTGCCTATTATGATAGGCATTGCCTAGTTCTGGAGGGTGGAGGGCAATTTAAATATCAGTTGGACAACTACGCTTAATTTTAATTGATTGTAAGATGAAATCTATCAAATGGACTACTTTATAAAAGCTCTCTCACATTAGTTTCTCCAAAAGAATATTTTTAACTCACGTATGAGCTATTAGTTTTAACTTGTAGCGAAACTTTTTTCCAATTTTCCTACCTATCTTTTTTTTTCTCATAAAGATATTTTTTCATGTTAGTTTATTAATTTCTCCATAAAGATACTCATGCGTGAGATAGTTTTACATAAACTTTTGTCCATTTTTCATACCTACTTTTTTTTTCTCCTAGAGAGGTATTTCCATACTAACCAAACAAAACAAGAAAAGGGAATAAACAGAAATGCGAAATAATTACCCATTAAATCTGGAAGTAATGGAAACAATCTGAGAACAATTACAATAGAAGCAAAGCAAAAGGTGAGGTCGTTACCCATCCTGCAAATGAAGGAAAAATGAAAAATGTGAGCAAGTATGCATCAATATGGAAAAAACAAATGGTGAATTGGAGACATTGGTTACCATGATGTCCATGTGGAGCCAATCGACGCCGAGGTTGAGCATGCGATGGGCCTCGGAAGCCAAATTGGCGAATTCGGAAGAGAGCATCGAGGAAGCGATTTTTTTGGGTGCCACTCCCATCCTTAGCAAAAAGTTCGTCGATGGTGATTGGTGACGAAGCAGAAAATGAAAGGAGTTTCTCTTCTCTTATTCTGAATTGGGGTTCTGGTGGGTGGGTGGGTTGGTACTACTTACCAGTAACGATACTATTGATGCTACCTTTGACTTCAACTATTTTTAGGGTGCGATTTTTGACACCACATTGTAACTTGGATTCAATTCCATCCATACATAAAGTTCACACCAAAAACTTGCGTTACGCTTAAAAGATCAATTAGCCAAAAAAAAAAAAACCAACAACAACTTTTTCTTATACATCAAAACTATAATGGTTACACTTTAAACATAAGAATATGTGTATACTTCTTTAAATGTGTGATTAGGTATATTTTATCTTCACCATTACTAAGTTGATCGTACATAAGAATAAGAAAATATACCTAATCACACATTTAAAGAAGTACACACATATTTTTATGTTTAAAATGTAATTATTATAGTTTTGATGTATATGAAAAAGTTATTGTTGTTGTTGGTTTTTTTTTGCTAATTGATCTTTTAAGCGTAACGCACGTTTTTGGTGTGAAACTTGTGTATGGATGGAATCGAATCCAATTTGCAATGCAGTGTCAAAAATCGCACCCTAAAAATAGTTAAAGTCAAAGGTGACATCAACAGTATCGTTACTGGTAAGTAGTACGAACCCACCCACCGACCAGAACCCTAATTCAGAATAAGAGAAGAGAAGCTCCTTTTATTTTTTGCTCTGTCACCAACCACAATTGACGAACTTTTCGCTAAGAATGGGAGTGACAGCCAAAATCACTCCTTCGATGCTCTCTTTCGACTTCGCCAATTTGGCTTCCGAGGCCCATCGCATGCTCAACCTCGGCCCCGATTGGCTCCACATGGAATCATGGTAACCAATGTCTCTGATTCACCATTTTTTTCATATTCATGCATACTTACTCATATTTTTTATTTTTCCATCATTTGTAGGATGGGTAACGACCTTGCCTCTTACTTTGCTTCTGCTATAATTATCCTCAGATTGTTGTTATTACTTCCAAATTTAATGGGTTTTTATGTTGCATTTCTATTTATTCCCATTTCTTGTTTTGTTTGGTTAGTCTGAAAATACCTAGGATAAAAAAAAAATAGGTAGAAAAAATGGACCAAAAATTAGGTAAAACTAGCTCATGCATGAGTATCTTTATGGAGAAATTAATAAACTAACATGAGAAAATATCTTTAGGAGAATAAAAGGATAGTTAGGAAAAATGGAAAAAGTTTCGCTACAAGTTAAAATTACGAGCTCATATGTGAGTTAAAAATATCTTTTTGGAGAAACTAACATGAGAGAACTTCTATAAAGTAGCTCATTTGATAGATTTCATCTTGTAATCAATTAAAATTAAGCGAAGTTGTCCAACTGATATATAAATTGCCCTTCCCCCTCCAGAACTAGGCAATGCCTATCATAATAGGCAAATCAAGAAGATAGACTTTAGGCTCTGATTCCATAATAAATTTCAGCTTAAAACAAATTGACATTAAGTGAAACTGCTCAATAGATATATAAACCGCACCCGGAGAATTGAGACAAGTGATGTGAGACTTTCCAACAATGTTTAAGTTAATTTTAACTTATGAAAAACTTATTTCATTTTTCCTTTTTTAAAAGTGTTTCTAAAGTTTACCCAAAATGACTCTTAATATTATCTTTCTACAAGGATAACGGGGATAATTCTTTTACCTACAAGAATATTTTTGTGGCAGATTCTAGTGTCTATTTTGCTTCTCTGCTTGTAACAATGAATTTGAGTGAGGTGTAATTAGTTTGTTTGGAAATTTGGGTTGCGTAAACATTGAATAATATACTCTTTAGTTTATTTGAATATGTATTCTCATGTAGTAGGGATAAGAATGTTCAATGGTGAATCATTTGTTGAATGTATTGGCGTATAGTTATTCATGAATATTAGTGAATACTACATTCTGAATCAAGCTTATCAATATGACTGATCCATTAGCAGATGGAGGATGTCAATCTTCAGCTCGTACTCATGTTCAATAATAACAATAGCAAGATTTTAGTAATCTCATACTCTAAGTGTATGTTCTGCTACAATATTCATTTCTAATCGATGCTTCATTCTCTTCTATAAATTTCTCCAATATAAATTGTATGTATTGTGTTGTACATGGTTATTAGAGTCTTGCGATTTAATACGATTTAGCTATCTTTCAATTTGTATCATAAGATGAATCTAAATGATTTTGTATCTTATGATACATAAACAGATCTCTGCAATTTTGTATCATACATACAAATCAGATAATTCAAAGTTTCATTAATTATTTGTTTACGTTTTTCATCATCAATTCTCATTAAAAAATTGAACAGTCGCATGATCTTATATTTTTAAATGAAAAGGAATTGAAGAAGCACTTATGCTATTTGATTATTCCACTACTTTATTTTTCACTCACTCATTCAGTGTCTACATTCCATTTGGCTATTTCATTGCATTGTTTCCATTTAACTATTTCATTTATTTCATTTCATAAGACTTATTATTAATTTCTTTTATCTATTTATAGTTTAAAATTATTACAATGAACTCTATATATATTGCTTATATGATATATTAGAAATAATTTCTCATTTTCTTTGAATCTTATATTTGATGCAAATTATGTTTTATGATTCAAAATTTAGCTTGGTAATTCACGATTTGAGTCTTGATTTAATAACCTTTTTTGTTATTATTACTTTTTTAGTTGCCCCAAATTTTATATTCACAACTTTCCTGACTAGCACATTAGCATCAAGGTTATCCATAGTGGATAATGGATTCTTTTACCTACAAGAATATTTTTGTGGCAGATTCTAGTGTCTATTTTGCTTCTCTGCTTGTAACAATGAATTTGAGTGAGGTGTAATTAGTTTGTTTGGAAATTTGGGTTGCGTAAACATTGAATAATATACTCTTTAGTTTATTTGAATATGTATTCTCATGTAGTAGGGATAAGAATGTTCAATGGTGAATCATTTGTTGAATGTATTGGCGTATAGTTATTCATGAATATTAGTGAATACTACATTCTGAATCAAGCTTATCAATATGACTGATCCATTAGCAGATGGAGGATGTCAATCTTCAGCTCGTACTCATGTTCAATAATAACAATAGCAAGATTTTAGTAATCTCATACTCTAAGTGTATGTTCTGCTACAATATTCATTTCTAATCGATGCTTCATTCTCTTCTATAAATTTCTCCAATATAAATTGTATGTATTGTGTTGTACATGGTTATTAGAGTCTTGCGATTTAATACGATTTAGCTATCTTTCAATTTGTATCATAAGATGAATCTAAATGATTTTGTATCTTATGATACATAAACAGATCTCTGCAATTTTGTATCATACATACAAATCAGATAATTCAAAGTTTCATTAATTATTTGTTTACGTTTTTCATCATCAATTCTCATTAAAAAATTGAACAGTCGCATGATCTTATATTTTTAAATGAAAAGGAATTGAAGAAGCACTTATGCTATTTGATTATTCCACTACTTTATTTTTCACTCACTCATTCAGTGTCTACATTCCATTTGGCTATTTCATTGCATTGTTTCCATTTAACTATTTCATTTATTTCATTTCATAAGACTTATTATTAATTTCTTTTATCTATTTATAGTTTAAAATTATTACAATGAACTCTATATATATTGCTTATATGATATATTAGAAATAATTTCTCATTTTCTTTGAATCTTATATTTGATGCAAATTATGTTTTATGATTCAAAATTTAGCTTGGTAATTCACGATTTGAGTCTTGATTTAATAACCTTTTTTGTTATTATTACTTTTTTAGTTGCCCCAAATTTTATATTCACAACTTTCCTGACTAGCACATTAGCATCAAGGTTATCCATAGTGGATAATGGTCTATGGCGATGAAGCTAAAAATCCTTTATAACTTTATGACGGATGCCATGGCAGACAATATATATATATATATATATATATATATAT